GGCCCCCGTGCTACACAGAGCATTGCCCAGGGTTTTAAGAGGGTATGTTATTCCACTGTCTGCAGGCCGAAGCTTAGTGAGTAGAAGGGGCAAAGGGACAGGTAGAAAGCACATCTTCCATGGATTTGGTCATTTGGTTACTGGTGGTTAGTTAAACAAATCCTAGCTGGTTGCTGTTTGAGGAACTTAGGACATAGTAGTAAGCCAAACAGATCTGTGTCATGGAAACACTTCTGTTTTTATAGTGTGTGAAGCCACCCAAGCACCACAGAGCAGGGATGGCAGCCCTGTTCACGAGAGCGTCCTCAGGGCCCTGCTGGAATCTGGTAGGAAACTGCCCAGTGCTTGGGGAAACAGCCTGCTGCGGACACAGCTCAGTGCCTGTCAGTGAAGAAAGAAACTGGAAAAAGCCAAACTGCTTCTTTGCTCAAGAGATCTATTGTGTTGACTCGTCCCATAATTGATTTTTGCTTAGAAATTCTCGACCAGAGAGAAATTGAAATTGAGTTTATTCTGGAAGGGCTCCCTTTTCCTTATTACCCACGGGGTTCACATTGAGTGTGAAAACTCCTATTTGCATCCAACTTTGAGTTTTTATGAAAACTGAATTTAAACTACTGTCCTGAGCCAAACTTGGAAGTCAGTGGATAATTTAGAAATCCATGGTGGAGCTGTAGAGATACTATAGCGAGTAAGAGCATCAGCTGCTCTTGCAGAGGACCTGGGTTGTTCAGTTCTCAAGACTCACATTAAAGCTTACTGTTCCAGGGCATCTGACACCTTCTGACCTCTGTGGGCCACTACATGCATGGGGTACACTTACATACATGCAGGCAAAACACTCACATAAAATACAAATAGATAAATAATAACTATGCATAGTGAAGGAAATAAGTTTCCTTTCTATTCATCTCTCCGGGAAGCGAAAGGGTAAATTAAAAACAAACATGTTGAATTTCACATTGAATTGGGCCATCATAATTTGAAATGTCCTCAAGTCCTCTAGTCTCCCAACCTTGGTTTTCTGTTATGAGCTGATGTTAGAGCTCTGGCCCTTTCCAGAATCTACCTTCCTCTTGTTTGATAGCACACAGGAGAGAATATTAGAAAATATAACTGTTCAGAGTTGAAAAACAAAATTTGTGCCTTTGTAAGCTTATGCTAACAATGTGAATTTGGAGCTCAGCGTTGGAAAAAGCTGCAGCACCACAGAGGGAACTGGAGCCTGTCACAAGGATAGAGGTTCAAGAGGGAGATCTTAATATAAGAACCAAGAAATCAAGACTGCTGGGGAAAAACACCTAGACATCAACATAGAACATTCTGTGAAAGACTCCCTTAGCATAGATGATTTCAAGGAATTAACAAGTGGGATCGCCTAAGTTAAAAAGCTTCTTTATGGCAAAGGGGCAATCACCAAAGTGATGACAGGCTACAGAATGATAGCAAATGTCTATGCCAAATAAACATTTGACAGGGGACTAATAGCTAGAATGCACAAAGAACTGCAAAAAATTGCATGCACGCCAATTATCCAGTCAGTCAACAGGCTATTGAACTGAGTAGACAGTCTTTCTCTCTATCTATCTCTCTCCCTCCCCCCTCTTTCAAGACAAGGTTTCCCTGTGTAGCCTTGGCTGTCCTGGACTGGATTTGTAGACCAGGCTGGTCTTGAACTCACAGTGATAGTGATCCATTTGCTTCTGCCTCCGTGAGGGCTGGGATTAAAGGAGTGCACCGCCAACCTGGCTAACTTAAAATTTAATTGAAGATAAAAAGAGGAAGGAGCAGCTGCTGCAGAGCAGGTGCCTTCCTAGTTGTGCTGACAACCATGGGGCCAAGCACTGACGCTACAAAGTCAAGCCAGTAGAGAGCCCTGGAAGGGTGAGATTCGAGAGAGTGAAATAAAGGCAGACAGGAAAGGGAGGAGAGAAGAAATGGAAGTAGGTGAAGGGTAGCGAGACTGCTCCCATTATGAAAATTGGTGGGTTTGACCAAACGCTGCCTATTGGGCCGGGCAAGCAGTGGTGCTGAGAGCAGAAGGGTATTGCCTGCCAGCTGGCTGATGACGCAGCTGGTCCTGAAGACTGCCGGCCCTTTCCTCCCCGGTCTTAGCTGAGTTATAGGAGGTGCTCCAGCTTGAGGGAAACACACCCAGCACAGAAAGCTTGAGGAAGCAAAGTGCAGGAGGCTGCCTGTGTTCTGACAGCCTACTAGAGTATGAGCTGCTTGATACAACATAAGCATTACCATAATGAATTCTGACATCATTGCACCGTCTCAGTCAAGGGTGTTGAGATGAATAAATGGCCTCATGTCGGGGGTCTGTGGAAACCCTAAAAACCAGGGAAATTCCTCGACCCTCCGGTTTTCAGTTTAGAGTGGAAACTTTAAACAACAGTTTGTTCTAGATGTTTAATGGATTTCAGCATTTTAGGAACAAACTAATAGTTTACAGATATGAAAGCAATCTTGTGGATTTTGTTCATTTTCCTCATACTGGATTTGGGGTACTTGTGGCAATTTCTAATATATAATTGTGCCACCCCTTCCTTGCTGTCCTTCTAGGGTGCCACAGCCTCAGGCCTGCTACATCTGTAGTTTTTGTTTATGAGCAGAATTCTTCTGAGTTGAGGAGAGGATTCAATTCTGAATCCTGCACACAGTCCAGGAACAAGCTGGGAAAAGCTGGAGACAGTTTGCACTTATTTCAAAGGCATTTTTGGGAGCCAATGTCAGGCTCAGCCTCCTCCTGCTGTGGAGATTTTTGCATTCGTCCAGCAGAGGGCCTCCTTCCCGCATGGGAAAAACCACAGCCACCCAGAAAGGAGAGTTGGGTTTCTCTAGCCATATCAGGTAGCTGAAGGCATATCCATCAAGCACAGGGCTTCTTCCCCTGGTTTAATGGATTTGCTTTCCAGTTTGAACTAGTACCTAAGGAGCATCATTAGCTGTCATCACCAGAACATAGGGTTTATGCTATTTGTGTGTGTAAAGTAATTTGCATATCAGTGGCACCAAATACACATCTGGGCTCTTGGATTTCTTTCCTCTCGAGTCTCTTCTGCTTTACAGAGCTTATGTTTCTTTTGTCCTATGTGGTAACAGAGCATGGGAAAGCTCCCAACCTGCTCCCTCCCCAGGCTTTGAGTTTGAGCAAGCCCATTCGCTTCTGTGTAAGCTAGACTGTATTGGATCATTTCTGGCTAGAAAATTCTGTGCTTCTATAACTATAAATAGTTCATTCTGCAAAAAGGACATGGGTGATGCCCCAAATGGCCAGGTTCTATTTGTAGCCTCCCCAGCTATAATAGTTAGCTTCAATGTGCTTATTCAAGGTCTAATCCCCACAATGGCAAAGCAGGGCTATGAGGGTCTAGCAGCATCTCACCAGTGACATTGCCTCAGGCATGCCCGTATTCCATCAGTTCAGATGCCCTTTATGTACACAGAGGGCATTTAATCGGTGATTTGGAAATAAAATTAGCTACCCAGCCACTCCCATTCCTTTCCAGCTGTGACTGTTTCCTCCTGTTACTCCAGAGCACCGAGCTTCAGCCCAGAGCAGTGTGCACAGTTGCCGTGGACATGGATCCATACAAATGAGTGAAGGGGCAGTCAGAGGAGATTGCATGTTCCAGGGCCTGTTCTCTAATTTTTCTTCATGTCTCCAATGGATTTTCTTAGTGCTGCTTAGAGTCCTGAGTGCAGGCGGTGGCGGCGGCTTCTTCTTCTTCTTCTTCTTCTTCTTCTTCTTCTTCTTCTTCTTCTTCTTCTTCTTCTTCTTCTTCTTTCTTCTTCCTTCTTCCTTCTTCCTTCTTCCTTCTTCTTCGCTGCCACAAAGCTTCTGACCTGATAGCTTTTCATCTGTGTGGGTGAGAGGGCTGAGGGAGTGTTACATACTGGGCCAGTCAGCCATTATCTTAACAATCTTGTGAATGAGAGCTCCAGGAAGCCACATAGGTATAAGATATGAATCAGTCACCCTGTGACTGGTGCATGCATCTTACAGAAGCCACATTTTTTTCTCTCACACCTTTGCATGACTTAAAATGCCACCCAAACAAGAGCCAGATACCTGGAGCATCTGTCACAGCCTGCTGAGGCTGGCTGACAGTCTTGCACCTGCTAACCCGTTCTATGGCGTTTTGGAAAGATGAGATGTGTTCTAATGAGCCTGTTATAAATATCACCTAGTTATGTCATAGATGGTGGCAGTGCTCAATGTAAAGGAAATGGCTGGGAGGTGTTCCCAATCAAAGAGGCCAGACCCAGCATTCTGAGGGAACAAGTGGAGCCAGGATGCTCTAAAAGATGATTTGTCCCCAGTGAAATATGTTGCTAGACTTGTCTCTATGGAGCACATAGGATGATGAATGGATCTGTGTTCTGAGCAAACACAGGAAGGCCAGGCACTGGTCAGTTCACAGTGGCCCTCAGAGAGGGGCTTTGGCCCTTTGCTTCTTTTTGTCAGTTCTAGACTGGAGTTCATGTGATGGACTTACTGGGCAGTGATTTCTGTTCTGAAAGGTAAGAAGTGCTTAAGTGAGGCCGTCCCTCCTTTTTCTTTTCTGTTTATCCTCCTTATAGATTTTCAGCAAGAAGTCTTCTGCACATTGCATGTAGTGCCTTGCTCATGTCCTTACCTGCCCAGTGTTGTCATCTCCCTTTTTAATGACAGCACAGACGCCAAAACTCCTGTGAGTTTGAAAATAGATTCTTTATTCTTTGCCTCAGAACTGAATTTTAGGTTTTTGACTCCTTGAGAAATTTTGATTTGGTCTAAAACACACACACACACACACACACACACACACACACACACACACAACCATCAGTCTTGGGTCAGTTGCTCAAAGACAGGTATGTGTAGAATAATTGTTTGCTTGAATTCTAGCCAACAGCTTTTATATGGACAAAATGTATTGAAATCTGTATATAAGATACTTAATATTATTACATGCCAGATGGAAACCTTCTCAAATTCTGTGTGCACACAGGAACTTGACAAGAGGAGTCGGGAGATTTAGGGAGCTTCTCCGAGCAGTGGAGACGAGAACAACACAGAACCTGCGAATGGTAAGTGGGACTGACCCGAGACTGCAGGCACCTGGCTTCTGTGGATGTATGTGTCACGTGTCCACGTGATTCTGTATAAGAGTGCATTTCTGTGTTCCAGCATATTTAACATTTAATTTCAGAACATTGTAATACTTCTCAACGAAACTGCAAACACGTTAGTAGTTTGTTCCCATTCTTTCATTCCTCTAGCTTTTGGCAATCACTGATTTCATTTCTATTCCTATGGATTTGCCTATTTTGAACATTTCACATAGAATTATATAGTATAGTCTTTTGGACTGGCCTCCTTCATGTAGCATCAGTATCGTTAAGGTTCTTCTTCCATGTTGCCTCAGTGTTTTCCTTTCATTGCCAAACAATACTCTGTTTTATGAGTCTGCCACACTCTTTTCTCCCAGTCTTTTTCAGTTGATGGGTATTGGGTTGCTGTGACTGTGCTTGTGTGAGGACCTCTGTGTTCAGGGTTTTGAGTAGACACATGCCTTTGTTCTTCCTCTGTTCTTAGGAGTAGTGCTACATGAAAACTCTGGTTTGAACAGTTTGAGGAGATTCTGTTTCCCAAAGCAGCTACCCGTTTTCCATTCCCACCAGAAGTTCTGAGGATTCTGCTTTCTCCACAACCTGACTAGCACTTGTTATCTTTTTGTTTATAGCCACCTTAGTGAGTGCCTAGTGAGTCCATGGTGGGACATTCTGGCTGTCTGGATAAGGACATGCCCACAAAACTTGAAAGAGAAGTACAAAAGAGAGTCTATCATCAACCCGTGAAGGCTTAGTGCTCAGTGTACTAGTAAATGTCCTATTTATACAGCATAGTCACAATTAATACAGCAACCCTCTATAAATCTGCAGTTTCCTTTATCTTTTATTACTCATGTCCGTCCTTGATTGTTGTTGGGAATGTTCATTTGGATAAGGCTAAGAGATTCATAGCGTGGGAAATGCAGAGAGAGCTTCATTTGGGCATCTCCAAGGTTCTAAGATGTAGAGATATGATTTATGGGGCAAGGCAGCTAAACAGAATGTTTTTCTAGAATATGTTGTTGAACTAGTAAGTAACTTTATACATACACACAGACACAGACACATTTCTCATCAAGACCTTACTGATAAGGTCTTGATATTTATATTTTATATTGTTTTTTTTTATAGATTTAAAATTTTATATTTGTCTGAATATGTTTTATATATAATATTTTTATTTTATAATTTTTTTATTTATAAATTTAGTTATAGTAAAAATCCAAAAAATTTATTTATAGTATATTTTATATATTCAGACAAAGCATTTTGATTTTTAGGGGCCTTTATGGCACAAGAGCTTGCCATTATATACATGAAAACTTTTGCCAGATATCTTTTCTCTCAAATTCACTTATTCTCTGAATCCCATAAGGCTTTTTAGCTGATCACTTTGAATTGCTTTAGACACACAGTGATAAGGGCAGTGTTCCAAAATGGGGCATTTCTGTTGACCCTCATGGATGGATGGATAGATAGACAGACAGACAGAGAAATAAATAGGTAGATAATCTTCCATTGTTTTCTTGAGGTGAGCAGGCAAGAGCCTTTTCAAGTCTATTTGGTAGCTGGAATTGCCCTTGGACATTTCAGCCACGAGCTGGTGTTGTTAACATGAGGGTAGACATTTCCCACTTTATGTCATTCTGAATCAAAGTGTGCCTTTGCTCTCTGCTGTGGGGATCTTCAAGCGACTTGAACTGCATGAGAATTGTCTGAGGAGCTGTGATTTTGGTTTTAGTCAAGTGCTTTGGCAATGATCTACATCCCTAACTGTATTGAGGAATGCTGAACAGATACATGTGCTCACCTACAAGCTCCAAAATTTCAGTGGAGTATGTCTGCAGCAGGACCAAGGAATCTACTTTATTAACTACAGGATTTTTTTTTTTTTTACCTTAGGTAATATTTGCAATTGTATGCTGTATTTGTGAGATGGTAAAGTTGTTTTGTGAACTTGATTTGATATGAAAGCATAGCAGAAAGTGATCTAAAACTATATTCATAGCATTCCATTTCTAGACTTTACCAAAGAATTTAAACAAAATTTCAAACACAAACTCTTGAACATGAATGCTCATAAAAGCACTATTTCTAACAGCCAAAAGCCAGAAACAAGCTGAATGAATGGACAAAATGGGTCATGTCTGTCTTGTTCAACAGTAAAACAGGAGGAACCTAATAAACAGACAACAACAGCATAGCTGAATCTTGAAAAGATGGCACTACATGAAGGAAGTTGATCACAGAAGACCCACATAGTAGGCATTTCTGTGAGATCTTCTAAACAGTCAAATCCATAAAGATAGAAAACACATTAGTTGTTCTCAGGGTTTGAGAGGGGAGAAAGTGAGAAGCTACAGCTTAAAAGGTATAGGATTTCATTTTGGGGTGACGAAAATGTCCTGGAACTAGATAGTGGTGAGGATTGCACAACCTTGTGAATGTACTAAATGCCATTGGATTGTACCCTTAAAACAGTCTCATAGTGGATGGGGGCTGGGAGAAGAGAGACAGAGACACAGAGACAGAGGGGGATTCTTTATTCATTTTTCCGTTTTAACATTTATTTCACGGTCGTAGTGAATGTAGGGTGATTCTGACAGCTGAAGCGTTCAGCAGAGCCATTAGCTCACATGACGGCAGTGAGATGAAAGTGAAGCCATAATGGAGGTCCAGGGAAGCAGCTCAGGCAGTGTTCAGGTCTGGAAATTGTGTTCTTATGAGATCTTTACAGATGGTTCAGTTGGGGATGATCTGGATGCATTTAGTTCCACACTTTTACAGCCATTTAAAGGCAGTGGCTTCGACATGGGGATAATCAAGAAAATTTGCCTTTGCCCAGTGGTTCTCAGAAGCCACCAAGCTAATGATTTGGTTACATTGAAGTTTCCTTGGTGAGTTTTAGGAAGATTCATATGGATGAATCCTAAAGAAGTTCTCTTTTGAACACATTCATTTTAGAAGCTCATTCTCAGGGAGTATCAGCTGTATCTTTCAGAGAACACAGAACCTGCTGGGAAACCCCACTGCTTGAGGCTCTGGGTGATTGTGGATTGACTGTTCTGGGATACAGAGGTTCTGTTTGAAAACGGGGTATTGGGAGATGTGCACATGTGTGTACGCTTGTGTGTATCAGCATTCCTTTACCAACAAGACCCTTCTTGGTAGACATACTTCTTGCATATCGCTTGGAGTAATGTTCTAGGCACTGGCATTGCAGAGGACTCAGAAAAGCATTTTCACCTTTGCTGGCTAGAAGGAGAAGGTCTGTTTGTTTCTGGATTTTCACGGGGAGGTGTGAGATAGCCCCAGCTCTGTAGAAAGCCCTTTCACATCAGAAGCTGCAGCTCCCACTTTGCCTTCCCTGCTGCACAATGCTAGCTTCTGAGCTTCTCAGCCTCTCTAGGTCATGCATGGAAAGTAGGGCACCCCACCCACCAACTGCTGTGTCCTGTGTGCTGGCGTGTGACTAAGGCCACTGCTCCTTCTAGTGTCTGCAGTGTACGTATGGCCATGCTTAGGTTTTTGTTTTTGTTTTTTTTTACTTCAGAGGGTGTCATTGAAGTTGAGTCCTGGCTTTTCTCTGGATTTGAGCTATAGCAAGCAGCTGCTGCAGGGTGATGAAAACATCTGCAGTTCACCCAAGAGCTCTTAGAAAAGGCTTAGCTACGTGTTTAGTTATTTTGGGTCTAAAACCTATTTAATGTGTAATATAGACAGGGCAGAATTGGGAGTGCGTGAACCTTCTTAAAGAACTGTTCATGAGGCTGGAGAATGGTTCAGGGGTTAAGTGCAGGTACTGATCTTTTTTTTTTT